TCTGTAATTTTGGTGAGAACAGGGACCCTATCTTATTCATCCTAGCATCCATTTCCCACCCTGTTCAGGCTTCTGGACTAGTCCAGCCTGGGATGCTAACCAGGCAACTATGTTAGCCTGCTTGGTTTTGAACATTTATTGTAGCTGGCCTCCATAACACTTTGATAGGTGTTGAGAACACATGGATGAATAGTATGTGGTCCTTGAGGAAGAAAAACACACAAGAAAACATAGAAAGGCAATGTAGTCTTTTGTTTTTTAATTGTAATTTATGTGTATGGGTGTTTTGTCCCAACTGCTAGTCAGCAACCCCTATGCTGAGTAACTCTGCCCCTGACTGATCTAACATTTTAGAGTCTGTATTTTCCTTGCAAGATGAGAAGTCATGGGGCAGGGTGCCACATATTCTTTAGATTCTTTTCTGAGAATGTTGTTGAGTTCTCCGGGTTTCTAGTCCCCAGAAAGGTACCAGCCATGTTTGGTCAGCAATGGCAGTATCACCCACCTACATGGAGCATAGCTCAGAACCCTCACACTGGGTTCCTCAGCAACTTGGACCAGGTACAACCTGTCTCAAGCAGCCTTCCCAGCACAGTAGAGCCCCCAACCCTTGAATTTCTGCTGTGTACAAAGAGGTAAGATGTTAACCACAGTCTTGCTGAAGCTAGGGCTTTCAGAGAAGGCATTCAGGGTGCTGTAGATCAAGAAGAGCATGGAGGTCAGGTTTAGAGCTGTATTATATGTGCATATGTATGTGTCCCATATGTGTATATATGTGCACCACATGTATATATAATTATGTGTACTATATGTGTATGTATGTGTACATGTGTATATATGTATGTGTACTATATGTGCATTAATGTGCACCACATGTGTATATTTGTATGTGTACCACATGTGTATGTGTGTATGTTCACCACATATGTAAGAATGTATTTATTTAGGTAACTATGTATGAATGTATGTATGTGCACTACCCATGCCTGGCATCTAAAGAGGTCAGGAGACAGGTCTGGTCCCAGGAACTGGAGCTGCAGCAGGGTTGACCTGAACTGTGGTTACTGATGATTGAAATGGTTTCCTCTGAAAGAGCAGCAAATGATCTTAACTGATGATCCATCTCTCCAGCCTCCCATTAAGGAATTAAAAATATCTCCACTAGGCTCTCATGCACAAACAAGCC